GGGGGGGGGAGCAGGAGCAGGAGCAGAAGCCCCACCTACTAGGAGGCCTGCAGTCACTCAGCCAAGAGATGATGAGGAGGTGAGGGCTCTGGTGCAGGAAAGCAGATGGATTCAGATCTACCAGCTGGGACGAATGCTGCAGCAGCTCAGTCTTGCTTTGAGACAGTGACAGAGGGCTTCCTGCAGGAGGTGGCTCTTTAGTGGTGTCATGAAGGATTAGTTGGCCAGACAGATGGAGTCAGGGGTGAAAGAGGACCCTCCAGGAGACAGAACAGATATAGGATAAAGGCAAGGAAGTATAAAAGGCAAGGTGTGTTGGGGAGGGGCTGTTCTATCTTCTTGGAGAGTAGGAAGGTGTTGGGGTGAACCCAAGACATGCTGGAGGGACCAGGTATCAAAGGGTTGTGGAGGTCAAGCCATTATGAACTGAAAGTGATATGGTCAAATCCATGGTTTCAGGAGAGCACTGCACTGTGAGGGCCAACTTGGGGAAGGGCCCAGAGGCTGAGAGGCAGTGAGGCCAGCAAAGAGAAGACAAGGGAGTAGGACCAAGGAGATATGTAGAAGCAGAATCTGCAGGATTTTTGTTGTTGTTGTTGTTAATCCTCACATGAGGATATTTTTCCATTGATTTTAGATGAATGGAAGGGAGAGAGGGAGGAGGGGGGGAGAGAGAGAAATATCAATGTGAGAGAGACACATTGATTGGTTGCCTCCTGTATGAGCCCAGGTTCGTGTCCTTGACCAGGCATTGAGTGCTTGACCCTTCAGTATGCTCTAACCACTGAGTCACACCAGTCAGGATTTTAATTTGGGAGACAAAGGGATGGGGTAAAGATGAGACCGTGGTTTCCAGTCCGGTGTCTTAGGGGATGAAGGGGCCTGTCTGGGTGGGGAAGAGGGACCAGGCAGTTTCAGGGGCCTGAGACACACTCAGGTGGAGATGCCCAGGAAGCAGATGGACCCAAAGGAGGCACAGCAGAGGGGAGAGCAGCCTCTGGCCACATTGGATCCTGGGCTACATCCTGACCCTCCCGTTGTGACTGTGTACCCCTGGGTAGGTGATGTTACTTCCGAAACCTGCAATTTGGGGTTAACAAAACCCATACCTAGAGGGTAGTGGGACATTAGGTGAGAAGCTGCAATAAAAGCTCTTAGTAGAATGTACATTCTGCTAATAGTAAGGGGTCAATAATTGTTAACTATGTATCATTAGTTACGGGTGTGGCAGCTGGGGAGTGAACACTAGGCTGGAGATGGAGAGATATTTGTGGGCTTTCAAATGGGCACTGATGGCAAAGGAATGACTGAGCTGACCCTAGGAGGGCTCAGGACTGAGCTGGGCCACTAGCAATGATGATCCTGAAGGAGGAAAAGGAGAAGCAGGGTGGGAAGAAAGGGAGCGGAAGAGAAAAGGAGGAGGGGAGAGAGCAAGAGGAGGCCCTGGCCGTGGTGGCTGTTGGTTGGGCATCGTCCTGTGCACCGAAAGGTTGCTGGTTCGATTCCCCATCAGGACACATGCCCCGCTCGATCACCGATCCCCGGTAGGGGGCGTGCAGGAGGCAGCCCTAAAAATTTCGCCCCTAAAAATTAAAAAAAAAAAAAAGAAAGAAGAGGAAGAGGAGGAAGCCTCTAAGGAACCAGAGAGGTGGCTGTGGTGGGAGAAGAACCAGAAGAGGTCGGTGCCAGGGTGGGAGCCGTGACAGAAGGGAAAACTGTGGAGAGGCTCAGTTGCCCCAGTAACAGACCTGTGACTTGGTCAGAGGATGTGGTGGTTTGGAGGCAGACATGGTGGGCTGAGGGGCAGAAGAGAGGAGGGTGCAAAGATCAAAGCCAGGTGACAGCCAGGGCCTAGGGGCCAGCGGAAGCTGGTCAGCAGTTGTGGGGCCTGGATGGAGGGTGCACGCCACAAGGCCCCGCCGGCGCCGACCCTGGGAGGCAGGAGAGTGACCTTGCCTCAAATACAGATTTTGCCACTAACTCTAGTCGCTCACCTTTTCTGAGCCTCAGTTTCCTCACCTGTGAAGGAGGGATAGCTCGCTACTCAGCAGTTTCTGCAAAGCTGCTGCGGGGACGCCTCCAGGGACCCGGTCCGCTTCCAGTCCTGGGCCCCGCCCTCTTTTGTCCGAGCCCCGCCCCACCTGACCCC